TGATTTCGGAGGCCCTAAACCCTAACCCCTGAACCCTGAACCCTAAACCCTAAACTACACCCTAACCCCCACATACTCCCCGGAATTGAGAATTACCTACCAATTGCTTAAGAACCCCCCCCCCCAAAAAAAAAAAAAAAAAACAAGAGAAAAGAACAAATAATAATAAATAAATAAATAAACAAATAAATATATATATATACATATATGTATATTCTTCCTTATCAGGGTGATACAGGGACTAGTATTTGTTCTTTTGGGGTTCTTAGGCAAATAGTGGTTCCTGGCCTCTCTTGCAGAGACCGAGGCCAGCGAAAAGCCGGACGAAGGCCTTCGGCGTCCCAGGCCCGCGGTTTTAGGGTTTTTGTTTAGGGTTCAGGGTTTAGGTTTTAGGGTTTAGGGTTTAGGGTTTAGGGTTTGCGTTGTTGCAACGCTTCCAGGCCCCAGGGTTTGTGGTTTCGGGTCTGATCGTGTAGCAGCTTGGGGCTGAGGAATTCAATTTAGCGGCTTAGGTAGTTCAGGGTTTGGGGTTAGGAGTTAGTCGTTTCATAGTCTCTGGTTATATGACTTGATGAAGGGTCCGGGGGTTGAAGGCACCGCCCCAGCAAAACTGTGAACCCTAAACCCGCCTGCTCTACAAGATTTCTACACGTAGATAATGTTCATCATCGGCTTACCTACCAGGCAGGTCGCCAAAAGGAGCCCGCACAGCTTGGGGTTTAGGGTTTAGGGTTTAGGGTCTAGGGTCTAGGGTCTAGGGTTTAGGATTCCCCACCCCCCCCCCCCCCCCCCTCCCCAAAAAAAAAAAAAACAATAAACGGCTGAGAAAGACGAGGCTGAAGAAGCTGGGGAGTCGAAGGTGGCTCCAAAAGAGGCTGCCGACGTGGCATCTCAGCTCGCAAGTAGTGCTGGGATTGATGGCTTGCTTGAGGCTTCAGGATTCAGGATTTAGGGTTTAGGGCTGAACCCTGAACCCGTATAGACTCATAGACCCTAAGCGAAACCGAAACACGATCTGTCGTGGAACCCACCGACATGTTGAGTTCCCCCCCCCTTTTCCCCTGGGAAGCCGTCTGGGCCCTTGCAGTGCGCGGCAGCCATTCTGAGCAGCCCTACCTCTGGTTTACGGCAGGGTTTAGGGTTTAGGGTTTAGGTTTAGGGTTTAGGGTTTAGGGTTTAGGGTTTAGGGTTTAGGGTTTAGGGTTTAGGATTTAGGGTTTAGGGTTTAGGGTTTAGGGTTTAGGGTTTACGGCAGATGTTCCTGAAGCGAGCCTGGCAAGGTGATCATCTTGTTTGTGTTGCTGTGTGATGCTCACATGAAGCCCATGTGACAACCAATGTTTCTTTCGAACCTCAAATCCTAAGCCTTCGCCAAACCCTAAACTTGGAGGTTCATTCATTGCAGTTGAGGGGCTGAGGGGTGTTTTAGGGTTCAGCAGGCGGGTTCAGTTGCAAGGGTGTGTTTTGGAAGGTTGCAGTGCTTACTGAGGCCCGGACGTGACCTGCATCACATGGAAATGGTTTTAAATGCTGTTATTTGCAGGTGTTTACGATGCAGTCACTGCGTACCTTCTCTTTGCCAACATACCATGGATGCTACTCTGGATGACGGAACGCGCCAGGCGCGTTCCGTAACAGCCTCTTCCTCGTTTTTGCTTGTCTTCTGGGGTTGGGGGGTTTGGAGGGTTGGGGCGGGGGGGGGGGGGGTGGGGGGGGGGGGGGGGGGGTTTGGCCAATTCTCTCGGGGGGATTGGGCGGGGGGGGGGGGGGGTAGTTGCCCCAATTCTTCTCTTTCATCTGGCTCCGCGTGCAAGTGCCATGTTCAGGTTTGAAAGGTACGCACACGAGCCGCAAGATCATGTGGTAAAGGAGGCCATGTGGACAAAACACCAAAACGTTGTTCGATCAAAACTTGGTGCCGCCGTAAGCTGCAAGGGCTCCGGCGCACTCGGCCAAAGAAACCCAAGGTATCGCACCAGACCGATCCTCATAAAACATAGCAAGAAGGGCGACATTCACGGACACAGACGGCATGGAGACGAGCACGTCAAAGTGAGCCCGCAGGTCGTTGCCTGCGAGCCGCTCCAAATGATGCAGAGCCGCAGGCAAGCGACTGCCGATGCATTGACAAAGCCAACCAACGCAGGGACGACATGGAAGATTCAGCCCTGTCCTGCCACAATGCTTACATTCTCCTGACCAAACAGGATTCAGCCCTGTCACGCAAAAATGCCAACATTACTATCCTGACCAGACAACATGGAGACATCAACAACAGTGGCTGTTGTTCAAGCCACCCAGAACCTGATTCTCCTGCCAAAGCCGAAAATCGCATACACTGCAAATAACGACACACCCGACACTTTGCACCACACTTGGAAGTGAACCCGCAGGGAGGGTTCAGGGTCCGGGTCCAAAATGACGCGGCTAATTTGATCTTGTAGGTGAAAACTATCAGAACTCATGCTACTTAAGCCCCAAAGCCCTTGAGCCCTTCAACCTTGAACCCCTAAGCCTAAACTTAATGCCCTTTGCCCCTCACCCTAAACCCTAAACAGCCTGATCCCCCAAACCCGGTGTTTTCCATTGCTGCTGAGAAATCCCAGGCAGGACCCGACCCGGGGGCCGAGCTTAAGGATGCCCATCCCGTGTCTCCTACCAACACCACGGATGGTCGTGAAGGCTGGGCTTGTAGGGTTTATAGAGGGAGCGTGGCGGGCGGGGTTGAACCACGGATGGTCGTGAAGGTTGGTCAAGGGCACGGAATCTCACAGAGTTTAGAGGTTCCGCAGTTCGGGCCTTTGGGAATGTCAGTGCGTCATGTTTGGCAAGCCAGGAGGCGCCGCGCAAGTCCATTCTGGAGAGCCTTGTGCACCAGCCCTGGCCGGTGCAGGGGAGCATGCCGAGCATCAAGAACGTGGGGACGATGTCGGACACAGCCAAGCGGACCAGGAGGGTGGGCCTTCCCCGGCGTTGCCGTCATCTCCCGTTAGCGACGGCAGGGAAGATGACAAGGAGGCAAGAGGGCACAGCCAAGCGGAGCAGGAGGGTGGGCCTTCCCCGACTTTGCCGTCATCTCCCAGCGAGAGCAGGCCAGACGACAAGGAGGCAGCAGGACACGGCCAAGCTGACAAGGAGGGGCCTTCGCCGACTTTGCCGTCGTCTCCCGTTTGCGAAAGCAGGGACGATGACAAGGAGGCAGGAGATTCTTCGGCTGCCAAAGAAGCAGCTGACGAGACAGCAGTTGGGGAACCGGCCGAAGACCATGCTTCCTCGAAACAGGTTGGTCTTGAAGACGTCTCCTCGCAGGTCTTAAGGCCAGAGTCGCCTAATGCGATGCAGAGCCATGCAGACCATAGCGGAGGCGACTTAGCTTCCCCGACTTTGCCTGCCCCTGCCAGCGAGTCGGAGGGAGAAGACAGAGAGGCAAGCGACGCACGAGCTGCCAAGGAGGGAGATGAGCAGACCAACCCAGAGACGCAAGAGGCAGGCCTCGTGACAGCTGAGGAACTTGGCCTCAGCGATGGTTCCTCACCAACAGCTGAAGAGCTTTCTCTCGGCGATGGCTCTTTAAGGGACTTAGAGGAACCAGCGCCATGTGCAGAATGTGCAGAAGACCTGGTGACCGATGGTGACATCAACTCTGCAAAGCAACGTGGAGAAGGGGACTCACCTGAGGAACCTGACATGCAGGCAAGCGATTCAAGCGATGCTCCGGCTGCTAAAGAAGCTGGCGAGGCAGCAAGTGTAGCAAGTGCAGCAAGTGGCGAGGCGCAAGAAACGGACCACCCAACAGCCGAGGAGCTTGGCCTTGACTCCTCATATTCACAAGCTGAAGGGCTTTCTCTTGGTAACTCCTTAAGGGACTCCAAGGAATTCGGGCATGATGCAGAGGACCCATGGGCTGTTCACGTTAACACGGCGCAGAGCGCCTCATTGCCCAGGTCTCTTGCCAGTGATGCAGAGGAAGTTGGCACGGAGTCGAGTGATGCTCCGGCTGCCAAAGATGCAGCTGGCGAGGCAGCAAGTGGTCAGGCACAAGAAGTGGAGGACCACCAGCCGACGGTCGAAGAGCTTGGTCTTGGTGATGACTCCTCAAGGGACTCATCGGAACCAACGCTACAGGAAGAGGCTGCTGCAGGCTCCGTGGCTGAAGAGCAGCAAGAAGCAGAGCCGGTGCCTTCTGACTACGACGGCAGTTATGCGGAAGAGTCGGAGGACGAGGATGGAAAAAGCTCGAGAAGCTCCAGATCTGGGCCCCAGTCTGGCGGGGTGAGCGAAGATATCCCTGAGGTTGAGCGACCCTCTGTGGTGCACAGCATGTCTTCTGAGCCTCTGCATCGGAGCATCTCCGAACATACTTGGGAAAGCCAGGACGCTCGCACACTACAGCCAAGGGGCGAAGAGCCCAAGGGCGTCGAATCCTCCAGGTTCCTCCTGCCGGAGGAAGTCTCCGTTCTCGAGTCTGGCTTTTCCGGCCAGTGGTCCGAGCTAGAAGCAGGGCCAAGGCATGTGTCCAAGGAGCTGAGTGAAGATGCTTACTCTGGGGAGTGGTCAGAGGAAGAGGAGTCATGAAAATGCATGGAGGTTCATCCGGGAGGGGTTGTTTAAGCACACCTGAGTAGCAAATAGGGTTATAAGTACAGTTGCCATACTTGCATTCTTATGGATATGTTTCTGAATTAGCCTCCTTGGACGAAGATTTGTATCCGAGTTGGGGCAACACTTTCCCCCAAACCAGCTTCGGATTTGCGACATGTGACTCATGTGTCCTAAGCCAAAGAGCGAGCCCCCCTACAGGCCAACCCGAAAGAAGGCATCTCCAGGCCACATCCCTAAGCCCTAAACCCCTGACGCCCCGAAACCCTAAACTCCTAAACCCTAAACTCCTAAACCCTAAACTCCTAAACCCTAAACTCCTAAACCCTAAACCTCGGAACCCGAACCCCAGAACCCTGAAACCCTAAACACAGTTCGGGTGCCGCAGCTATGGCCCAAAGATGACCCAAACCATTCCAACCCTGCCGCCGGCTGCAGGCGAAGACCGCGGGGGCTTTAGGGTTTAGAGTTCGCGTGTGTAGTTTTATTTGTTATTTACTTATTTTTTTTTTGGGGGGGGGGGGGAGGGGAGTTGAGGTATATGCAGGTGAAGATTTAGGGTTTTGGGCGGTTTTGGGTGCAAGGGTTTCGGGTTTGAGGAGCACATTTCAGGTTGTTTCGGAAGGTATGTAGAGTGGGAGCGGCGATCCGAAGGAAGCCCATCACACAAAGTCTCCTAGAGGGTAAAGGCTGACATTCAGAAGCTCTGAGGGATCAAGGGGTTTAGGGTGGGTTTGGGGTTGAGGGTTTAGGGTTTAGGGTTTAGGGTGGGTGCTTAGGGATCTAGGGTTGAAGAGAAGTGCGGTTCGGAGGTTGGCATGGCAAAACAGACTTGAAGCCTTTTTCAGCCGCAGCCGCAGACTGAACCATCAAAGACCGCCCCTGCTTGCCCCCCCTGTCCTCCCGCCCTCCCTCCCAGGTACTTAGACTTTTGGACTGATTCAGGGTTCGCTCTCAAAGCCCTTTTCAACCCCAAACCCTAGCAACCCCAACACTCCCTCCTGCAGACCTTACATCCTTAACCCCAACAGCCCCAATCCCCAAAGCTTGCCGAAACCGTGAACCCCATGAGCTGACTACTAAACAAACCCCCAAGCCCGAACGACCAAAAGAAACCTGCCCAACCAAATCCAAACTCCCAGCCCAAACAGGCTAGACCCGAAGACTCTCTCCCGCCAAGCAAGCTCCAGGCCCTTGTCCGCCCTCGGAAAACGGCTGTGGCATTTATGCCAGGTACGGCCCCAAGAGAGTTAGGGCTTGGGGGATTAGGATTCAGGGTTTATAGGGCCTAGGGAGCCCTAAACCGTAAGCCCGCTTTTGGGTGTTGAGGGGGCATGCCGGCATCGGTCTTTCTTCCGGTCTAGTCGGAGACATGGGCACTGTTCTACAGAATCCCCCCCCCGTCGGTGTATGTGTGTGTGTATGCGTATATAACATATAGCTTACATATATATATATGTATTATACTGTAATAACATATATAATATAGAGAGAGAGAAGGAGATAAATGATCTCAGCACCTAAATCTCCCATGATCTTACATTCTGCAAGTGACGCTTTGAGGATGTGGGGTTGATGGTTTTAGGGTCTTGGGGTGTAGGGTTAAGAGTTTCAGGGCTACAGTTAGAGCTGGGTGTTCCGCAGTCTGGCTTCTCATTGCAGGCTAGATGGTGATCCGGAAGCCGGCAACCGCGAGGAATGGCCGAAAGGCGAGCTCAGCATAAGCGCAGGGGTATTGGCGGAGTCCCTTGGAAATGGGGACCTTGAAGCAAGGCACAAAACTATTCCTCAATGAAGGGAGGCCATGGGGCTTCTTGGGGCAACAGAGTGTGCTTGGCAAGGGCCATCACTGGCGAAAGCTTGCGACCCTAAACCCGTAAGCTGTAAACCTTCACCCTAATTGGTGGCTGGGAGCCTTGAAGCGCACTGTAAGTTGGAAGGCTTGCGGTTCAGGGCTTTGGGGGCTTTGGGCTTACGGTTCAGGTTTAGGGTTCAGGGTTTGGGGATGTGGTTCAGGGATGTGAGAAAGACCGTCAGGCCACACGACGTGGTGCGTCGTGAAGAGCTACATTTGCCGCATGCCTGCAAGCCCGAAGCGTCAAGTTGGTTGGCAAGCCCAACCTAGGTCTCTAAGCCCTAAACCCGAACTTTTAAACCCCAAATCCCAAACCCTGGGAGGGTGCGGTCAACCCTGGACCTCATGCATCCACCACCCCTACTCCCTCGTTTTCCACAGGCTCAGATACTTCCAGGGCTTTGAAACTCTATACCCTCAGGTGTAGGGATTTCGGGTTGGGGTGTAGAGTTCTGGACCCCACAGTTCAGGGCATGCAAACCCAACACCTAGGGGGAAGAGCTGCCCCCACATCTGCTTTCCGAGGCTTCTTGTGCATGATGGTCCTTTGCTTTTGGATGGGGAGAAAGGTCGCCCCTTTGTCCAGAGGCCTGGGGGGGGAATGGAAGGTGCTGTTGGCTTGAGACTCTTGTGCTTCAGGTCCCTAAACCTGAAACCCTAAATCCCTGTACTCGAAATTCCTACACTAAACCCTAACCCCCTATAAAGCCCCAGCAAAACCGAAGGGAGGCAGCACGGTCCCCGATCAAACCCTTAGAAATCCCTCCTTGAACCCTTCAACTAATCAGTCCTTAAGCCCTTCACTCGTTAATTGAGTCAACTACTTGTTAGAGTCGGGCTTGGGGTTTAGGGCTGAGGGTGTAGGGCTTAGGGTACAAGAGCAGTTCGGGTAGAGTCTTCGTGTACGGACCCTATAAACCCAAACTCCGCCATTCCCTAAGCTCCTACTTGGAAGCACTTTGACTTAGTAAGTCTACTTAGTATCCTAGACCCTAAACCCTAAACCCTAAACCCTAAAACCCTCGACCTGAAGGTGAAATGGATAGCTTCCCTCTTTGGGCGGCAGCCTTACTGGGCTTCACAAAGCCGCGCCTCTTCGCGGCTTTTGGGTTTCAAGTTTAGGGGTTTGGGGAGTTTAGGGTTGCGGTTTATGGTTTGGGGTGTTTGGGAGTTTAGGGTTTAGGGTTCAGGGAGTTCGGGGTTTGGGGAGTTGGGGGAGTTGGAGGGAGTTGGGGGGAGGGTTTGGGGGGGCTTAGGGGTTTGGAGTTTAGGAGTTTGGGGCTTGGGGCGTCTACACCTTTGAACCCTTGTGTTCGCAGAGAGGTTGGAACCATGGCTGTCTGCAAGGAAGACACTGCAAAAAATCAGTAGTCTGCAAGGAAGCCACTGCAAAAATCAGTAGGAAGGTACCCGCCGTCTTCATGCTGTGGGCAGGTATCACGCCAATGTCTCCTTGAGCCCGGGTATATTGCCCTCACTCGAACAGCCCCCTAAACTCCAGGTGGTCCGGACTTTCTCTGAACCGTAGGGCCGTAGGGAGTAGCACGTCATAGCACGTCCCATCGTCAATAATCGCATTTTTTGCAAAACGGCCATGGAAGATGCGCGAAAACCAAGCACCCCAGAGCCGAGGGCCTACGCCGAATTGAAACAGCCCGGGCAACCCTAGTGCCCCCCAAAGAATCCTCAAGACATCCCAAACCACCGTGCCCGAAGCCTATTGGGTGGGGGGGGGGGGGGGCGAGGGGGAACCTAAACTGTACACCCTACTTGGAGTCTCTTGTTTCTTTTCTGGGGTTCTAAGCAGGCTATCATCAGTACTTAGCTACAGTTCTTATAACCCTACTTACAACCACCCATGAACCTCCAAGCAAAACCCTGGACCCGATGCTTCCCTGGTTCTGGCACCGACCGTAGGCCGGCGAAGCCTCCCTCGAAGACAGGAAGTGCGCCGTGGGCCTCAGCTTCGTGAAGGTTCGGTTTTAGGGTCCAAGGGTTCAGAGTTTTCCCCTTAAGTTTCATGAGTTCAGGGAGCCCCAATACCCCTTTGTTAGGGATTTGGCCCCTCAAACTACACAGGTATCCATGGACATGTCCGCAAAGGCTATGAACCCTGAACCCCACCCCCCCCTCTCGCTTCCAGTAGACTGGAGAGTTGGATGTCGATGCCCACGACTTTCCTTCATTCCCTAGTTTGACCAGGAACTTCCCCAAGTCTTACGCCCCCCCCATAGCCCTGAACCCAAAAACAAAAACCCCGAACACTTCAGCCGTGATCCCCCGCAAACCCTCATCCCTCAATCCTCTAAATCCCTAAGCCCCAAAGCCCTAAAGCCCAAAAACCCGAAAGCCCCAAAACCTCCAAACCCCTAAAGCCCGAATTAAGCCCCGAAACCCAGTACCCTCAGCAGCTGAAGCCCCGAATCCATTCTCGGCTACGGGTCGGCGTCTTGACCGACCCTAAGCCCTAAACCCTCAAACCCCAATCTGTGAGTTGTAGGGTTTAGGGCTTGGCTTAGAGGTGTTTTTTGATTTTTGGCGGGCGGAGAGGTCTTGAGGGTTTTAGGGTGCATGGATGTGCATGGCCCTGCCCAGGTTTTCAACATCTTCCTTGCTCGGCACTGCAACAAGAATCCACCTTGGGCAAAGGAGCCCTGAACCCTAAGCCTAAACCCTAGACCCTTAAGCTGCAGGGGCTACGATAGGCTACTCATGCAGGTAACAGACTGAGATCGCTCAGGGATCAGGGCTTCTAATCCCTCAAATTGGTCTGCACATTGGGTTCCTGCCAGTCCGCGATAAATTGGGTAGCTCTAAAGTGTAGACAAACCGCACTACTTTAGCAGTAAAGCCACGACGACGCACTTTGTTTCTCCAACATGCTTCTAAACTCCTGCCTCGTGCGGTTTTACATCTTGTACAGAACCGGCTAGGATCCCCTACAAACCTGATTAAATCACAGAGAGAAGGCCGTGCTTTGTCTATAGGGTTTAGAGTTCTGCCTTGTTCCGTCGAGGAGATCGACGAAGCAATCCGCTCCATCCATTCAGGCCCCAAGGTTCCCCCCAACCCTGAAGATGTAAGGGGTTTAGGGTTTAGGGTTGGGATGTTCCCCCTTATACTAACAGTCCTTAATAGGGATTATAGTACTCCCTGTTGCAATCCCTATGAAGGACTGTTCGCATAACGAGGAACATCCCAAGCTCGTGTGCCTTGCAGGACCCGACGCGGATGCAGCTTTGCACAGAGACCGGCTTCCTGCGTGGAGCCATGCGGGCCTGATTAACGCTTGTGTATTCTGGTCCCGAGGCAAGCATGGGCACGCTGGTCCTGATCTGATGGCGTAGGATTTATGGGGTTGATGTAGTTAATTCTGGCGCAACACTGAAAACGACAGAAAGAACAGCAAAAAGTACGGAAGCTAGCGAGAGGCATCAAACGGGACGAAGCGGCAGTGGTTGGGGTCAAGATTTTGCGGCCACTTCGGTCGCACTGCACCTTTGGACATCCCAGATCGAAGTCCTAAGACCTGGGCTCCCACAAGAACCAGATCCCTAGCGGAAACCTTCAAAGCCTAAGCGGGTTCTCCTGCCAGGAGCACATGGCTGCCGTCTTTGGCCCGGGTGGCAAGTTTCCAGTTCCGGACAGGCTTCCACTCTCGTCCTTCAATCAGTGGGGGGATGGGGTTGTGAGGGGGGTGCTTAATATTAGGGTAGTTCAGGAAACCTTTATGCCCAGCCGAGCCCCTCCCGCAATCAGCCCGAATAGATACAGAAAAAACGCTCCAAGGGGATGTAGTCCTAAGCATGAGAGCTGGGGTCGCATCGTGCACCCCAAAAGAGACCATATTTCACGGAACTGGCCATTTTGGGTTTAGGGTATGTGGGGGCTCATCTTCGATCGGACAACGGCCTTCTTCTTATGTTGGGTTCCCATCATACTGCGCATGCTCCAGGATGTCACAGGGCAGCGGGCACGAGTGTCGTAACCTGAGCCTTTTCACATTCCTAAACTCTCGAACCTAAGAAAACCACCTATACCATACCCAGTGGTGCGTATGGCGGCGCATTGTGTTGCAGGCTCTTTGCTCGGCATCTTGCTCCCGGATTTTACAGCAGCAGAGATTTGCCGGGGCCTTCGTTTCGAGGTACCTCGAGGTTCATGGTACTCAGTACCCATATTATAACTGTACTTATCGATTATAACCCCATTGGGGTACTTAAGGGGTTATATGTGGGTTTTAACTGCACTTGTAATGGGTTACTAAGTACCCTGAACCTCCAAGTAGCTTGTGTCTGGCGTAAATTGCCGTAAACCCTACACCTAAACCCCAAAACTCCCGAGAGGCCCTCTCAACCCTAAAGCTCCTAAACGCCATAAGCCCTATGCCCCCCTCAGCCCTAAACCCTAAACCCTAAACCCTAAACCCTAAACCCTAAAGCCCAGTAAGCCCCATGCCCCCTCAAGCCGAAAGCTCCGACGACGCCTGAGGTACCTCCTTTGGCCACTGGCGCAGCGGCTGAAGCTGGTGGTGAACACAACTTTCAAGCAGGACTTAACCCCTAAAGCCTAAACCCTACATAAACCCTTAGATGTCAAATCTCACCAAGACCCTTGAAGCAAGAAAGAGACAACGGTTTAGTTTGGCTTGTGCTCTAGGTTGCTCCGAGCCTTGAACTGTTCAACTCGCGTTGAGCAGCCCTCAGCCGAAACCCTAAACCCTAGCAGGCCAAAGCAAGGAGGGCATTCGGGTTTAGGGTTTAGGGTTTAGGGTTTAGGGTTTAGGGTTTAGGAGCTAACCAGCATCTCTATAAAGTTTCAGGCCTACTCCACAATACCAGGGGAATTGGAATCGCCCGGAGCTTAGATGCCCCAGACCCGAACACCGAACCCTTAAGGAACCCTAAACCCTATGCCCCGGACCCCAAGCACCGACCTCAACTCCAAAACATCAAACCCTAAATCCCAAGCACCGAACCCTTAACTCCCAAACCTCAAGCCCTAAACCCCAACCTTCACCTCAAGCTTGTTTTTGGTTTGCCCCTCCAGGGCTCCTTGCATCCCGGGCCTTAGACAGCTCCCAAAACCCAAAGGGCGGTTTACTACTAATTGCTTAATTGCTTAAGAACCCCCCAAAACATAAAAATGTTATTCCTTCCAGCGGATTGTAATTATTAATTTTTGGGGGGGTTCTTGAACAAATAGTGGTTTTGGGGGGTTTCTTGAGCAAATAGCGGTTTAGGGTTGGAGGTTTTGGAGTTTAGGCTTTAAGGGTGCTTAGGCGCAGGCTTGGGGGTTGGGGTTCGAGCTTTGGGGTTTAGGATTAAAAGCCTTGCTTAGGGGCACTTATCACTTGTTGCAGGAGGACCCGCTGCAGCTCGTCCGCGCTCTTCATGAAGGGCGGGAGGCAGGTGTTTGGCAAGGTTTCGGGTTTAGAGTTTAGGGCTTAGGGTTTAAGGTTCGGGTATTTGCTTAAAATGCCCGCCGACAACAAGGAAAGTGTCCCTCTCCATCGCCCGGGACTGGCAAAATGCACAAGCCCCAAGCCCCAAATCGAGGAACGCGCCTGCCCTCGGCAGGCATCCCTTCCCTAAGGCCCTAAACCCTTAAACTTTGTATGCAACACCTGCATTTCCGAACCCTAGGCCCTAACCCCTAACCCCATAAACCTCTAGTCCCCTAAACCCCCTAAACCCCCTACACCCCCAAAACCCCACACCCTTATGTAAAATGCTCCCTGAGTCCGAGCGCAGGCCAGCTGTGGGTCGGGGGTATCCGAACAAACGGCTCGAGCCCCGGAAAAATTCAGGGTCTGCGATTGCTTCACTGCAATTTTGGGGGGTTAGGGTTTCTGTTGAGTCTTGGATTCCCAGGCGAAATTAGGAAGGTTACCAGCAGAAAAATTGCAGCCCTAAATACTTAAGTGCTCGACGGCTTAAAGATGGCGGGGCCCGAAGGGCGTCCAGCTTTGAGGCTTTGGACTCAGGGTTTGGGGTTCTTTTTTATGGGGGTTCAGAGAGCTCATGACAGAGTTTAGGGTTTAGGGTTCAGGGTTTGCGGTTTAGGGTTAAGTTTGGGGCTTGAACCGGGGGGGCTCAACTTTCCGACTGATGTGGTGTCATTTTCTGGCGAATCTCATGGCGGCTTAGGGTTCCCCTGCACGAAGCTCCTCTACTCTAGAGAAACGAAACTCGGAGCCTTCCCACTCGAAGTTCCCTTGAGATAAATGATAGCTGCTAGCTCCAGGAAAAGCCGCATGGATGATGATTATAGGGAATTTGGGGGGGCATGAACGCGCTTACTTCGTGCACTTTGTCCATGGTTTTCACTTTTGATGAAAACGCCCGAATTACGTTATCTTTTCATGGGGCTCTTTCTCCATCACCAGTAAACATTAGAAGAGAGCAAAAGGGCCCTTCATTTGTATCTATTTTACTGGGTCTTGTGTGTTCTCGTCGTTCACACGGTTGTACTATCAACTACGATAAAATGTAGTTCGCGGGCTCTTTGTAATCATTATGTTAGCCCGCGTGTCAGTAAAATTATCGTGGCTTACCAACAACCTGTTCTATTCATTCTCGGGTGTTCACGCAGTCACTATGTTACTCACATGCTCATGATTTACTTCGTTCACTCGCGAACGAAAATTCGCGTGCTTCGTTCCTTCTTTCGCTCCGCTCTTGGTTTCGTTCACCCAATTCATACGGTTCATGCTTTTTTTAGCACATATGAGCACATGAATTGCGTTCACTTCACGCTGGTACCTCGAAAGCCCTGAATGTTACGGCACACACACACACCCGCACCCGCACACGCACACGCACACGCACGCGCACCCGCACGCGCACGCGCACACGCACACACGCACGCGCACACGCACACCCACACACGCACGCGCACACGCACACACGCACACGCACACGCACACACACACACACACACACACCAACACACACACCAACACACACACCAACACACCCACCAACACACACACCAACACACCCACCAACACACACACCAACACACACACACACACCAACACACACACACACACACACCAACACACACACACACACACACACACCAACACACACCAACACACACACACACACCAACACACACACCAACACACACACCAACACACACACACACACGGAGAGAGGGAGGTCAGCCAGAGATTGTTGTACAATGGTACACTGACTGGAGATGACTGGAGAGACCTCAGTACAGGAGAGACCTCAGTAAAGGGGAATCCCATCGGGACTCCTGGAAAACATTGCAGGTACATGGAGCTGGCCAAACTCCACATCCCCTGATGCTTCATAGCTTCGTTGGATTGGGTAGAAGCATCAGGCCCAATCCCCCTGCCGGAAAATTCGACTCATGCATAAGCTCTCAGCTCCAAGCCCCTTAGCTTAGAATCAGGGTTTACACACACACACCCCTCCTACGAGGGGAGACACAGTGCATTCCAAGGCCACAAGAGATATGCTGCACGCACACCCTCCGAAGAGGGAAAGTCCTGGTCTTGTACCTTTGTCACGGGTGAGTCCTCCGCCATAGGCCCGTCACCGCCATAGGCCTTCCTCCTCCAGCACCGACCTTAGAAATCCTTAGTGTCGTCGTCATCATCGTCGTCAGAGACCTCCAGCTGCCATGACAGGCCCAGGAGCGTCCGGGAGATCCCAGCTGCCACCGCCTTGACCCAAGGCACCTCCCATCATCGTCGTCATCGTGGAGGACCCCCAGCTGCCACAAAGGACCCAGGAGCATCCAGGAGGCCCCCGCTGTCCACAGCGACCCAGAGCACCTCTACTTTTAAAGAAAGAAAACGGTCTATTTGCAACTGAGGGGCAACCACCGGAAATACGACTCGGGTCGAGACCCACGAATAGAGAGTTAGACCACCTCGTCTATGTCTCACGACTGGGCTTGCGACGCCCTTCAACAATTTCCGGTTCCGCCCTTATTGGCGACTTTGAGCTTCAGCCGTGGCTGGTACCTCGAGAGAGAGAGAATCCGCTCATAGCACTGGGTGCCTACCAAGGCTCATCTGGCACTGAAGCCTCTCTGTTTACTTGGGTGATCCCCATCCAGGAATCAGGCAATGCCCAAACGGGTAAATTGCCCTTGGGCGACGAAGCCCACACACGGAGAGAGGGAGGTCAGCCAGAGATTGTTGTACAATGGTACACTGACTGGAGATGACTGGAGAGACCTCAGTACAGGAGAGACCTCAGTAAAGGGGAATCCCATCGGGACTCCTGGAAAACATTGCAGGTACATGGAGCTGGCCAAACTCCACATCCCCTGATGCTTCATAGCTTCGTTGGATTGGGTAGAAGCATCAGGCCCAATCCCCCTGCCGGAAAATTCGACTCATGCATAAGCTCTCAGCTCCAAGCCCCTTAGCTTAGAATCAGGGTTTACACACACACACACACCAACACACACACACACCAACACACACACACCAACACACACACACACCAACACACACACACACCAACACACACACACACACACCAACACACACACACACACAGACACACCAACACACACACAGACACACCCACAGACACACCCACACACACACACACACACCAACACACACACACACACACACCCACCCACACACACACACACGTACAGAGGACAGCCAACAGAAGTACGTGGCATGCGACGCTGTAAGCGCCGAACCACTCCACCTTATTCTTTGTTAAGCCTCACACCCTGCACCCTAGATCCCCAAACCCCCAAACCCCCAAACCCCCAAACCGCCAAACCGCCAAACCCCCAAGCCACCCAAACCCTCAAGCCCCTAAACCCTAAACCTCCCCCTCCTTCACCCGAGGTTCTGGTTTCCTGGGACCACTGCACCATCCCTGCGCTCGCGCAGGCAGAGCCCCTTTGGGGAGCTGAGGGTGTCAGGGTTTAGAACGTTTACGGTTTAGGGTTGAGGGTTGAGGGTTGAGGGTGGAGGGTTTTTGGGGTTAATTAACCCCCAAAACCCGGGACACTACGAGACCAGGGCTCTCTCATGGTTTAAGGGTTTAGGGTTTAGGCGAAGTCGTCTGCCCAAATTGCCCAACACCCCTTAGTTCAGGAAAACACGTTAAATCTTTTTCGCCACCCTCGGTGTGGGGTTTTTAGATTTTGAACTCAACTCTTCTCCTGGGCCGGAACTCTTCTCCTCGCCCGGTCTACTCCTCGCTCATCCCTGGAGTGCCCAACCCCCAAGTGTCCCCGGAGTGCCCAACCCCAGAGTATCTCTACCCAGAGAGGGTGGGGATGTTCGAAGTAAAATATGTCGATGGTATATTCTTCAACCCCCCTTCTGGTCGGGGGCGGTGCCTTGAGTTGCAGGCATTGCCCCGCATGCCAAGGGGATACTGTGGGAGTTTGTGCAGCCAAAAGGGGATTAGCTGAACTTGTTTTTTCCCTTAGTCTTGCTGCCGGTGCGTGTGTGCGTGTTTGGTACGACCACCCCGCACCCCAAGCCCTGTCTCCGAGCCAATGCCCCCAGCTTAGTACCTTTGTGAGGGATCGCAAGGGGAAGAGTTTCTGTTCCTGTGAAGTGGGCTGTCTTGCCTAAGTGCCCAAATCCAACCCAAGCCGCCCGGCTTGGGGGGGCGGGCCCATGGAGGTTCGGGTGGCGTTTTTCCCAGCTCGGACTGAGGGGCTCGGAGCGTCGAACTCTTGCCGGATCTCTCCAATGACGCAAGCGGAGGGGGGAAGAGATGGCGGGAGGGAACGTTTCCGTTGGCCGGAGTGCACCCCAGGCCGTCCACTCACTCACTCACTCACTCGGTATATTCTTCAAATAAGGGGTATTATCTTGAATCCAAAGGGACGTCGTATTGCAGGGTGCTGATTCAGAGCCCCCACGGCATCCGTAATCTCAACTCTTTGGGCCATGGTGCTACAACCCTGAGCCTTCAAATAAATTGGGTTTGTATCGGCTACTTATAGAGTGTATACGGCTTGCAGGGCTGCCTTTGGCTTGTAGGTTTCAGGGCAGAAGCCTGGGGAGAGCCTTGATCCGTTCTACTCAAGCATGTGCGATGTCACGGGCCTGCGGGGATTTTGGATGGACAGAGCCACGACACTCAAGCCTCGGACGCAACCTCGACCTCCAGACCTGCGCTCGCTGCGGCATGTCCGGGGCCAAGCACGGTGTGCTCAGACCAAAAAAGCATGCGCCGCGACAGAGCACAGCGGCGTTGGCGAGGACCGCGCTCGCGAAGCTGCTGCTACTCCTCGGCGCAGGGACCCGCAAAAAATGCAATGAATCTGTGGCTGCAGGAGCATTTTTCAGTCAGGCTGCCTGGCAAACGTGTGGTCGGCAAGAGACGAGGCCTTCATAACGCGCACCTGCCAGTGTGCATGGCGGTTGGGGTCGAGGCACCGCGTGAGGAGGCTCCGGAAGACGCCCACCTCTTAGCATGAAGAAACACGAGAAACGTGGCGCCTCAAGCCGAGTGTCGTCGAAGGCGCCAGCCGAGGTGGAGGAGGGCGAGGCGACAGGGAGTGCGCCTGCATGCGCAAAAACCAACACCCGTGAAGGAAGATGCTTCATTTCACACAAGCTCTCTTTTAGCTTCCTTCGAAACACACGCAGTGGAGGTTGACTGGTTCCGCGCCCGCCGTCAGCTGCAGTGCACGGCACCAATGCGGAAGCCGCTCGAAGAAGGCAGAAGCAGTCTATAGTCCGGACCGATTTCAAGGTCACTGGAAGCTGCTCCAAGTTGAGAGCTTGTTCGTGGACGACCCGGACGACGAGGAGGCGCCCCCGGGCAGAGCTGCAGGGACTGTGGACAGCGTAGGTGAGTTGCGGAGACCAGGACATCTTCAGCCGGGTTACGCTGAACGCGGTCTACAACTTCTTGGTGGGACGTACGGGCATGTTGTGATATGTGTGGCAGCGTGCAACATGGCTGCCAGGCCACGAGTTGCGGCGCACGCGAGAAGCCCTCCGGGAGCACAGACCCGCCATCCAGGGATGGCTGCAGAGCCGACTGTGCCGCCGAGCCCGGGCGCGGCCGCAGGACGCAAGGACGGCCGCCAGGAAGGCCAAAGCGGCGCAGGCTAAGGCCAAGGCCAGGGCAGAGGCGCGCGCTGCCCGCGAAGCCGCCCGCCGTGCCAGCCAGTGGCAGGAGGTAGCGGCGTCAGGGGGCTATATAGTAACCAAGCAACCTGAAACTGGAACTCCGAACTCCAAATTTGCATACTGCCACAGATGCATCCTGCAAACCCAACGCCCCAGTGAAATGCAGCTTGGCTGCGCGGATGGATGAATTCGGAACTAAGTTGTTTGGGCAGGGTTTCGTCGGGGAACGTTGCTCCAAAGAAGGGACTTGTTGGGAAAAGGGGTACAAGGGCGCTTTGTTGGGGAAAGGGCTAGAAGGGTTTTGTTGGGAACTTGCGCAAGGCACTCTTTGATTCCGGGTGTGGACGCCGCACGGTTGCACAGCCGCGCCAAGAAATCAAGCAGCCTGACCTCTGTTTTGTTGCGTGACGCCAAGCTCGGAGACGTTACGTCAGACGTTCATGCGAACCAGGCAGTGCGTGATGTACCTCGCTCGCACTAAAGTGCTGTGGACATCGATGCATCTGAAAGCAGAGGTCTACGTGCTGAAGGCTAAGGACGCGCAAGAGCGTGCAAGGGCGAAGCGCAAGAGGAATTTTAATAAGGGCAGCGTAAAGAACAACCCTCATATAGGCCTCGCAACAAGCCATGTCGTGCGCGGTTGTGTGTGTTTTTCCTGTCTGGCTGTCCTGCGTTTTCGCCCGCTAACCCCCGCAGGCCCTTTACCCTAAACCCTCATCCCGAAAAGTCCTATAGCCCCAAGAGGCGCTTGGCTGCAATGACCAGATCTGCCGTTCCTGTGCCTCGACGTGTTTTATGCATCCCGAAGAGCTAAACCCTAGATCATACTACTACTGCTACTACTGCTACTCCTCCTGCACCTGCTCCTGCTCCTGCTCCTGCTCCTGCTCCTGCTCCTGCTCCTGCTCCTGCTCCTACTACTACTCCTACTCCTACTCCTACTACTACTACTACTACTACTGCTACTACTACTACTACTACCACTACTCCTACTCCTACTCCTACTCCTACTGCTACTGCTACTGCTACTGCTACTGCTGCTACTACTACTACTACTACTACTACTACTACTACTACTACTACTACTACTACTACTACTAGCCAAGGGTTCTGAGCTCTCAGGGCAGGAAAACTAGGCCCTGGCCTCCCCTGAACCTCCATGGTGCCCCGTAGTCGTTGTGCCAAGACTTGGGGCTTATATACCTTAATCCCTGAACTGTAGCCCTAAAACCCTGAAAGACGAAAAACCCTGAAACCCGGAAACCCTGAAACCCTAAAACCCTAGCAGGCCCTAGCACCCTAAACCCCTGAACGCCTAAACCCTGAAACCCAAAAAGCCCTAAGGTCGAGCCCTAAGCCGCAACCACACCGGCAAAGCAACCGAGGTTGGGACGATGCTGAATACGATCGGGTCATATGGCTGAGGCCCTGCACCCTTGGACCCTAAGACGCCTCAACATCTCAGAGCTTTCTCCTTGCTGGGTTTAGGGTGTGGAGTTAGGGTTCAGGGATGAGAGACTGCGCTCTACCTGGAGGTATGCCGGTTTGAGGCAGCCCAGCCACAAGAACATGTCCTCTCCTCAGCATCACGGTTCAGGTTTGTCCTGGAACAACTTCCCAGAGTACAACAACTACCGCTTAATGAATGATTTCATGACCATGTTATCAATACGAACCATGAACAACAATAGCACGAGGTATAGTAACCGTATAGTAACCGAGGTGTAATTATGGAAGGAACCTGCCAAAACGACTCCTCATCCGCAGCCCGGAGCCCTGTACCCTGAACCCACCATGGGTTCAAAGTTATATGGTGAGTATAGGGTGATGTGGTAGGGTTAGACGCTTAAAGGTTTAACGTTTAGTGCCTGAACCCCTGAATGCACCCTTTGTTGGTGAATGAAAATGAGTTGCGGACCCTAAACCCTAAACCCTAGCCCAGGTCCTGGAACATGACTGCGAGAGCAGTTGCCGAAAATTATTCCTCTCCGCGGGGCTTGAAGCCAAGATGCTGGGTTTTGAAAGTAAGACTGAGGATTTGAAGGTCTTAGCACATAGAGGTGCAATTCTTCTATGCATCCCTCCTCCGAAAGGTTAGCTACCCAGAACCCTAAACCCCAAGCCCTAAGCCCGAAACCCAAACCCTCAAGTCAAATCGTATGGTTCCTACATCAGGTCCCAGGCTGCCTGGTTGAGCAAGGTGGGTTAGAATTTAGGGCACTAAACTCCTATAACTCTTAAACCTAAACCCTGAACCCTGAAACCTAGAAACCCTAAACCCAAACCCTAGCAAGGCTTCAACTTTCAGCTCCAACAACTGAGGCGGGCAGAAGCAAGGCAAAGGCTGCCTCACATCCTTCCCATGTAAGAGGCTTCAAGGAAATCAGGGGGTTTAGGAATTAGGGTTGAGGGTTTCGGCTTTAGGATTTAGGGCTTAAAGTGGGGGTGTGGGGCTTGGGGGTCTAAGGCCTTTTTAGGTGGCTGAGGCCACGCCTCCACCATGGGCGCAGGGCACCCCCGAGCCCGAAACTTCAAGGAACCCTACTGTACATCTTCACCCCGAAGGCTCAGGGGTTTGGGGTTTAGGGTTTAGGGTTTACTGTTTGGGGTTTAGGGTTTAGGGTTTAGGGCTACACCCTAAACCCAAACCCTGAACCCTTTGAACTTCGTCCGTAGTCCTTAACCCTAAACCCTAAACTCGAACCCCAAACCCCAAGCCCTAAGCCCTAAACCGTAAACCCTGTGAGCCTTCTCCTAGGTGCCATGGGCTACAAAGAGTGCCTGGGCAACCCGGTCGAGAACCAGCGCTTTGGCTACACCTGTCAAGCACCGTCGCTTGGTCGCAGAGCAAGGTTTTGGGGTTTAGGGTTTAGGCTGTAAGCTTTAGGGTTTAGGGTCTAGGGTGTAGGGTTTTAGAGTTTCGGGTTTAGGCTTTCGAACGGTTTCAAGGGATGAACGGCTTTAAAGGTGTTTAGGGTTTCGGGTTAAGTGCTGAGCTCCTCCCCAACCACTAAATCCTCAAAGTCCCAAGCAGCTCGGGGTCGCGATTCGAGGCCGTCCTGGGACTCGTTGCCAACGTTCGTGACGGGCCCTGAGGAGCGCTCCTCTCCGAGGTCGTAGGCCCCGAGCCCCAAACCCTGAACCCTAAGCCCCAAACCCATTACCCATAACCCATTACCCTAAACCCTAAACCCTAAACCTTAAACCCTAAACCCTAAACCCTAAACCTCCGTTCCCTGAACCCTCACGGCCAAAGGCCACATGACCCTGAATCCTAAAGGGCGAAGGGCCGAAATCCGAAGACCCAAGCATGCCGACGGTTTGCGTCTGCTGGAGGAAGCCCAATTTCAAAAAGGAGCCCATGCTGCAAAGCCCTAAGCCTTCCTGCTTCTTAGAAGGGAATGAGGGAATTAGGTACCCTGTATAGTCCCTTGAAGGTAATATAGGGGATACAAGGTACCTATTTCCCGACAATCCTTATAAGCCCTCGAGGGTTTTACTGCAGGGTCTCTTCACGAAATGCCCCCTAAGCGCTGTAGATGACGTCGATCAGACTACAGCCTTTCGGTTTTGGAGCTTTAGGGCTATTGGGGCAAGACCCTTAGAGCCCATGCAGCCTCATACGCTCCATAGCCTTTTTTCACCTAGGCTTTGGTGCTTGGAGTTTGAGTAGGGCTTACATGTTGCTGGCGGCCTTAGCTTTGGGTGCTGCTGAAGGAGTTGCTGACGGTTGAGAGAGCTCCCAGCAGTATAGATTGGGATCTGCCGTGCTCCAGCCGTCCACGCCTTGAGACTGTACATCTTACATCTTCGTTAACTTACGCGCTTTCACGCGGTTTCGAGATTGCTCGCTTCAGTTCCAGCAGCTCTGCGCGAGATCGCAGCTCAAGCATGGATGAGCCCCATGGTGGTCAAGGATTGCTTTGGTAAGGCCTCGAAACCTACACCTACAAACCCCAACGCCTAGAATCACTGCGTTTCAGAAGTCACCTCGGTTTAGACTTTTTTGGAGAAGGTTTGGTTCATTTTAGAGTTTATATAGGGCTTAGGGACCTTTGGATATATTTGGGGTTTATATAGGGTTCATTTAGGGTTTATACAGGGTTTAGGGAGCGCAAAGGCCTGAAAGCCTTAAGTGTCAACGCGCTGCATGGCATGCGCGCCAGCTGCCTGCTCTGGAGTTGGGCCCTAGTAGCTTCTCAGGACCCGGCTTTTTGGGTTTGGGGTCTGGGGTTTAGGGTTTCGGGTTCAGGGTTTAGGGTTTAGGGTTAGACGTTCTGGAGTTTAGGGGCTTGAGGGTTTGAGGGTTTACAAGGCTTGGAGGGTTTGGGCGGTCAAGGGTTTCAGGGTTGAAGGGTTTTGGGAGGGTGCCTTGGTTTACACCCCGGAGACCTGAGCCCACAGACCAAAAGCCAAAAGCCCAAACACCCAAGCTTCCCAAGAAAGTCCCTCAAATTCCTCAAATCCCGAGCCTTTTCAGTAACAGTCTCGACCCAGCACCAGTTTTCCCTATTCTGCGACGGCTGGCTTGTCAATATCTGTCGGAGTTAAGTTCTGAAAAACCCTACAAACCCTATAAGCCCTATAAACCCCACAACTCCTAGAAGCCCTATACACCCGACAAACCATGCACAAAGCCTATAAACCCTAAACCGTCCCTGCTGCCCCTGAGGATGCGGACTGCGCGCAGAGCTTTGGCCTCAGCTGAAGGTGTTCTCAGCAGAGGGCCATCGTTTTTGTTGTAGGGTTTAGGGTTTCGGGTTTGGGGTTTAGGGTTTAGGTTTTTGGGCTTAGGGTCCCCCTAGTTCAACCCCAACCTCCGCGAACCCTAGGCTGGTGCCTTGGTACGCCACAACGTGGTCCTCTGCCCTTTTTTGGAGGCTTCTGAAGTACGGGCCCTTGGGCTTTATAGGGTGTGCGGGTGCCGGTAGCGTTCGACTTTGTAGGTCGGACTCCAATCGGTGTGGGGCTTCGGGGTGCTTGAGGTTTTCGGGTTTATTGCTTACTTAGGGTTTGTCGGACGTTGAACTCGTCCTTTAAGAGATGCATTGGCCCAGGTGGTGTGCTCTGCTGCGTTCTGAAGTACGGCGGCGCCCGCAACTTCTTCAACAGCGGGGCCAATAGGACGGGCGCCCTAACCCCAAACCCAAAAGTCTGAAACTCCGAACCAAAAGGCCGAGCTGTTTTGTCGTAACCCACGAATGGGCAGTTCTCCAAATTCGTGGTTCCATATGGTGGGTCAAGAATACCGAGCCTTGGATTATGCTTCCAAAGCAACCTTATTTTAGAGAACACAAAGACCCCAAGCCCTCCTTTTTGGTTCAGCGAGCTCAGAGGGTCCAGATACACTTCAGGCTTGTAGACGTTGGGGGTTTGCAGGGCTCAAGGGCTCACTATCGGGACTGGACCCTGAATGCAAGACCCTGTAAACCCTAACCCCGGCATCAGGGTTTCGTGGGTTTCGCAGCATTACCTTCCCTTTGCCTGCGAGGTGCGAGGCCTTAGCAGAGTGCGGGCCCAGCGAAGACTATGACGCCGAGGACCGTTAGGCTTAGGGTTAAGGGTCGAGGGCTAGATCCTTACCTTAAGGAACCAAAGCCTTGTGTGGCCCTAGGGCTTAGGTGGGGTGCATGCTATGCCGAGCTGGTCCTGACGACGCAGCCAAAATCTTTGTTTCTGGGGCTAGGGCCTAGGGAGTCATTAAGGGAGTATGCTGATGGCTTATAGGCACCGAATATTCTTTCATTAGGCGATTTTGGAAGACCGGGCGCTCGCTTGGCACGTGGAAGGAGAACAGGTGCGTTGCCGCCGATGCGCTGACGTGCTCGGCTCAGCAGCTTCGTTCGGCTAGGGCTAAAGATTTTAGTTACGGTGTTTAGGGTTCGAGAGTTCGGTAAAGAGAGCCCCGACTGAGCGAACACCGAAAAACCATCTCAATCCTATCAAGCCTAAAGCGTGTCTCGTCCTCACGTCTAAGGGCCGTGACGGAGACCTCGACAGCAGGAGAAGCTGTTGCGGTTTGACAGAGCTCTTGGGTTACTGAAGGCTTGGCTATGAGAAACAGGATTTAATATTTAGGGTGAAGGAGCACCGAACATTCGGAAGATCGTAATTAGGAACCTTGCCATGACGGCTTTCCTACCGTATATATACATACATATATATATATATATTTATTTGTATTTATATACACGTTTTCTTTTTTTATTCATATATATATATACCTATTCCATTGTATTTAAGCAGTCAGTGGGTTGCTTTTGCGTGTCGAGTGGCTGTATCCTGAGTAGATTTGGGTCTCCTTCTGTGAGCTGATCTCAACTATGTTCTCCCGTTGGGTCTCTCTTACAGTCTTTTGAATGCTTGATGTAGTTTAGGTTTCCCTAACCCCTAGACCCCAGACCCTAGAACCCTAAACCTTGACGAGCCCCGAGAGCCAAACAAGGATGCTCTCCGGACCAAATTCCCATTCTTAGGGGTTAGAGTTTAGGGTTTCGGGTTTCCTCAACCCCAAACCCTATGCCTTCTGAAGCCTAGAGGCCTTCGAGACGTAATCCTCCAGGCTCCCTTCTTCAACCCTACAAGCCCTCTGCCAAGCGTTCATCACCAACCCCCAACAAAGATTCCCCCAAACCCTCAACCCCGACGCCTAAAACCCCATAGAGCTCTTAAACCCCAAACTCAGCAACCTTATATAAACCCGAAATCCCACAAACGCCGGGCCTCTGGTGCCAGGACCCCTGGAAAGCAGCACATCAACCTCCTTGTCCTGCCAGCCACGCGCCCGCATAGGGATCCTGGGTCACAGAATCTCGGGGTTGATAGGGCCTACATTACATCGGCTCAAAGTATTGAAACAGGCAGAGATATGGGTTTTTCCTTAGAAGTCCCTTTAACCCTAAGACAGACTTGGCTGGCGCAGGCAGCGCGCCTGCTGCGTGCATGGGGCTCCAGATCCATTGGACCCAGGTCGCTGTGCCAGGGCCCCGATGCAGGGTTCACGGTTGTGACTCACAACTTCACAAAGGCGAAGCTCTTTGATACCATCTTATGCCCCAGAGAAAGAAGAGAACCTTACTTGCGCTTAGCTGTTCAAAGATACAGGGTTCTCCTATAAGCCCGACCCTAAACCTCAAGTTTTTCCCTGAGAGGTTGGAATTGCCCTATAAAATATGTATCAAAAAGATAAATACATAAACCAATAAATAAAAAATCAGTATATATATATATATATATTTTTTTCCATTATATATACTGATGTATATTTATTTATCACATAGAAATACATCTTCGTGGCCCAAGTTTTCGGTGCTTGGGCTCGCCTTGGGCCCTCCTTCGCCTTGGGCCTTCCTTCAGCTGTTCCGCGGATGCCGAGGTGTGCGAGGAAGGTTGGGTGACCGAGGCCTCGGCCGAGGCGGGCGCGGGTAATGGGTTATGGGTTTAGGGTTTAGGGCTTAGGGCTTAGGGCTTAGGGCTTGGGGCTTGGGGTTTGGGGTTCGGGGTTTGTTTCCAGCTTCGGAACCCCCCAAGCAGCATATCCTCGGGTACTTTCTGCCGGTTCCTGGCGGCCTGCATCTCAGATTTGTATTGGACTTAGGGTTGTTGTTTGTTGTTGTGATTCATGTTGAGCTCAGAATTGCGGAACCCCAGGAAGTCTTCTAAGGAATCAAGGGGCATTGGACTCCACAGAGGTTTGGCTTGAGGTCTGCTTTAAGATCTCGGGACCCACATGCCCCTAAGGCTCAGGGCTCCCAACCCTGAAGCTTAAACCTTCAACCCTAAACCCTACCCTGAACCTGTCTCATGCCAGGGCATGCAGTGCGGCAGTCAAGTGTCGACCTCCTCGGCTTCTTCCACCTCTCAGGGAGAGGCCAGGGTTCACTTACGGTTTTTTAGTAGGGAATGGGGGAATGAGGGCCTTTTCTCCCCCTATAGATTCCCTTTAAGGGAATATGTAGAGTAACCTCATTCCCTCATTCCCTACTAGCCAACAGTAAGTTCAGGGTCACCGCAAGACTCCGCGACCTCAGCCCTGGACCCGACACCCACTTGGACTTGGAGGTTCATGGGTGCGTACAAGTAGGGTTTATGTTAATAAGCCTGGGAACTATCCTTCTTGC